TAAACCCTATTTAATTCCTTATATTAAATAGGGGAATTTGTCGGCCAATACATTGGTTTCGCAGACCAAACGGATGTCATAACTTTCTCTAGTTTATTTGATTGAGTCTCACCCTCAATTCTTGTGTTCATCATTCGGGATAGATACAGGATTTGAGGTAAAGCGCTCTTTCATTTAAACTATGAAAATTATGGGGTCAGTTTGACTTCATCTTTTTCAAAACTAATTTTTTTTTTTAACGTCCTTCCGAAGCGGGCAACGGGATTTCAATTCCGATGACCGACAGCTTCTTACGGGAAAACCCCACACCAAAAATAGTGCCGACACACTTCTCCAACCTGACAGACCCAGCATACATTTTCACATATGAGTGTTTAGTTTTCCTAGGTCGTTTAGAAGGCTTCCCAACTCAGACGGCGTGTAAGTTCTTTTATAAGAGCATTTTTAGCTTTGTAGTTGAACCTTCCTTTCTCTCTCTCTTTTCCGAGACATCCATTTTAAAAGTTAATTTAAAATGACAATCTCATTAAATAAATTTATAAAATTTAATTAAGAAAATCCGTAGCCACATATTGTCGAATTTGCCCAATTTGATTTGATCTACGCTAAAGAACAATTTATCCATTGTTTTTCTTCTATCAAATCTAATAATAACTACTTTTTTTGTTTTTTTAATTTCATTTCAAGCCGGTTATCGGATATCAGCATTCTCGTATAAACGAATTAGTAGTTGCGTTTAAATTTTGCTTTTTCTCAAATATATAAATAAATCAAGTTCATCAACATCACATCCAAAGAATCAAGATCAGTAGCGACTGCACCACCAACCACATCTTCTCGTGTGTGAAATCTCAAGCGCCGCCCAACACGGTACAAGTTAGCAGACTCTGCACTAAGTTCAAAAGGTTGACATATTCCACACGGCCTATCAATTCATCAAACAGAAAGGCAAATCGCAGAAAGCATGTCAACTAACCTCCTCTGAAATCTATAAAAATCCTAGACAGATCGAAGGAAGCAAACATCTCTCCTAATAGCATATCAGCCATGGCCATCTCATATTCTCTTCCCCTTCTTTTCCTTCTCCTGCCGTTCATCTGCCTTTTGTGCTGCTATCGGAGCACAGAGGCTCGACATGAACCCCGTGATTGCTCGATCTCAGAACTAATCTCAGAGGATCTATACAAAAGCATCTTCTTGCATAAGGATGACAACGCGTGTCCTGCAAAGGGCTTCTACCCTTACGATGCTTTCATCGCAGCAACGAAATGTTTCCCCAAATTCGCCAGTACAGGATGCTTGGATACTCGCAAGCGAGAGCTCGCAGCTTTCCTTGCTCAGATATCTCACGAGACCACAGGTTTATACTACTTTTTAATCTTACATCAAATTTTTATCTTTATAGTTGCTATAAGTTAGCTCAAATCTTATAAATGTAGTTCGAGGGGGATTTCCAAATCTTGCCGAAAAGATGTATGTATTGGCAAAATTATTTGAAATGTGGTCTTTTAAAAGTAAATCACAGCATGATTCACATCTATTTATCTTAATATCAAGCGATGGTTCTACAGCCTCTACTATTAAAATTTTAACAGCTTGTGCGAACGTTTAAAATTTGAATCTTTGGAATTGTGCCATAAAAATTTGGCCGAATTTTAGTTGGTGTTTGGACGAAGTGTAAACTTTATTAGCGGATCGTAATAGAATCAGGGATACGAGATCCAGAGACCAGTTAAACTAATCCTTTTTTTTTTCCTTCTTTGCATTTATCTTGGTTTTTATCATTTTTTTCTTCTAGTTATTTATAGGAACAAATTGGTTGGCTTCAAAAGATATGAAAACAATTTTACGTAGCATATAAAATTTTAAATATTTTTATCAGTACTTTTGATTCTTATAACTTACGACACTACTCCATGGAGACTTAGACTTACTATGCGATGAGCCAGATCAACAGACGTTATGGTTTTAGACAAATTGAAATCAGTATATGATTTTCACCCCCATTACCTATCTTTATTCCAGCAAAATTCAAACTGATATCATTTAGGGTTTGTTTGACAGCACTTCTTGGTTTATAGAAGCTCTTTTGAAAACAAATTTAAAAATGTTGTGATATAAGATTACAGTTTCTAACATTATTAATCCGTTTAAATTAAACTTCAACCAAACGAATGGCACGATCCCCAGTGTCGGGATCCCATGAAAAGCCTTAGTTGCTCTAATAGGATATTATAATATGATTAAATTTTATAGTAGGCCAAAAAGAATAATTAATTAGTTCAAATTTACTAATAATGAATTAGCAATTCTTGTACATTTATAAATGGTCGATATTTGGAGGCAATAAAATGAATGGAAAAAAAGAAGAGCAAAGATACCAACAATTAAAAATATTAGGAGTAAGTAAATTAGAAAAGTGAAATTGGTTGAGGGAAAACCCAACTCATTCATTTTACATCAAGTACAATGTCTCCCATGAATGCTATTTAAAGATGTACTAACATAATGCAGGAACTATTATTTCAAGCATCATATTTGTTACTAAAAACAAGCCAAATAGCTAATGAAGTAAAAATTAGAAGCAAGACATCAAGGGAGAATAAAATTCTCAATGACATGAATTATAGAGAATGTAGTTGACAAAGCTTTGTTGAATCATCCCATGGTGGATGAGCTCATATGAATCTTACTCTATAATCGCCATAGTTGTAGAGAGAGCTAGGAGTAATTTATGAAAAAATAATGCTCGACAAAAAAAGTGGCAATTTATAGAAGTGGGTGGATGAGATTTGGGAGGATGCATTGGTATTTTTCTATTTATTAATTCTAAAAATGATATAAACCATATATTTTCTTTATATTGAACATAAAACAAAATTTTAGTATAAACGAAATAATTAGATATAAAGCATAGTTTATCTAATGTAGAACTTGACAAAATAAAAAAAAATATATTAAAAAAATCAATTAGCCACTTTGAAATTCTTATGAATTTGATATTTAGTCTCATAGTTTATATTGCATAATATATATTGTTTTTTAAATTTAGACTTGAAGCATGTCTAAGACGTTACTTCAGGATTGTTTAACTTTTTTATGAAAAACAATTGAGATAAGTTAAGATAAGATATATTATTTATTTTTTTATCATTTAAATAATTTTTTTAGCCAAAGATAAGAGAAGATAAAACTAAAGATTCATTTTGTATTAATTAAAATTTTATTTTGGAAGAAATAGTAACAAGGTAAGCTTAAGCAAGAGATTTTTATTACATTCGGTGATGTAAATGAATTAATGATAAATTGATAATAAAGATGAAACAAAGAAGACTCGAACAAAAAACAAACGATAAAATTTTGAAGGTACTGGACAAATTTAGGTACACATAACAAAATTTTTAATGATTTGTATAGTAAACTCCCAAATTTTGATATTTACATTTATAACAATTTGGCTTTATAAAGCTATGCATAAAATGTGCATTTGTCCTTAGAAAAGCTAGCATATGTTATATGTTTTTCACTGATGTTAAAGATGTTAGTGATATGAATGTAAAAATTAAAATTTAGGCTTTAGCTATGTCAATATAGAAGAAATTGGCGGCACGCATGTAAATGCCCTTTATTTTTGAATTTCGTTTTTTTTTTTTTTAAGGCAGAGAGCAAGTCAAGCTGTGCTTATATTTGTTTAATTTAATTTAAAATTTAATTTGACCGAGACGTGGAATAGGTTGGGAGAAGGTCGTATCTGTATATAATATCATTCAAATATGTTTTGAAAAGAAAATAGGAGGAAATAAAAAAATTGTTTGGAAAAGAGCTTAAGATATAAAATAATTGCAATTAAAAAATTTATCTGGATGTCTTAACAGGAGGATGGGCAACGGCTCCAGACGGACCATATGCTTGGGGATTGTGTTTTAAAGAAGAAGTCAATCCATCATCTAACTACTGCGACTCAACGGACACCAAATGGCCTTGCTATCAAAACAAAAGCTACAAAGGAAGAGGACCCATCCAACTCTCATGGTAAGTCTACACTCCCAAATTCTCTTTTAACAAATGCATAACTTGAAATCATGGATATTAAGAAACATCAAATTAACGAATGATAGGAACTACAACTATGGACCGGCTGGGTTGGCTCTTGGATTCGACGGGTTGAGGGAGCCCGAGTTGGTGGCAAACCGATCTGATTTAGCATTCAAGACTGCACTGTGGTTCTGGATGACAGCGAGAGGTGAGAAACCGTCGTGCCATGATGTAATGGTGGGCCAGTTCATCCCTAGTGCGACTGACTTGGCAAATAATAGGACAGCCGGGTTCGGTCTCGTTACCAACATTATTAATGGTGGTCTTGAGTGCGGAATCCCAGACGACCCAAGGGCTAACAATCGAATTGGTTATTATAAGAGATATGCTCGGATATTTAACGTCGATGTGGGGCCAAATTTGGACTGTGCAAACCAAAAATCGTACTAAACTTGATCGTTTACTCCGTTTTAACAACAATTTTTTCTCCTTATATGCTTGTTTTTTATTATTGTTAAAAAAAAATTATCTCATCATTTAGAAGTATTGATTTATAAGGAATTGTAATAAGGGCATTTTTATGAAATGCGGCAAATTTATTTCTCCTTTTTTTTTCTCTTTTTTGTAATGAGGAGTTATTTGGAATCATCTTAAAGGGCTATGGTTATCATATAAATTGCATAAATATATTAGAAGTTCAATGCGGGCCATGTCTTTTGATAGTGGATACCCACAACTTCACAACTATCACAAAGAATCTGCAATAAGTCTTCATGAGAGAAAGGTAACAATCGTAGAAAGCAAAGAGGAAAGAGGATGCAACATGTCATTTAATAAGGCCGTAGTGGATCACTACAGCTATCACAAAGAATAATGTAAGAAAATTTGATTAGAAAATTAAGAAGTGTTGTTGATAGCAGCAAAATCAATCAATAAAACATGTGGTTTCTTGATTTTGGTTGCAACAATTACATGTGTGGCATAAAAAAGATTACTACTTTGACTAATATTGGAAAAAACTCGAGCTTTTCCATTTAAGGAAATGATTATGTCATTTTGCATGTAAATGGTCTAATCAAGATAATAACAAATGTGTTTTATGTATTTGAATTTGTATGTTCGAAAAATGCCAACAATAGCAGAGACTGGCCAGCCACCTCAATCGGTCGGCCACCCCAGCCAACTTGTTAGCCAACTCGTCGGATGCACCTTGCCATGGAAAGGCCCCAGACATATTAAAAATGCTAGTCATATGAAAAAATGTCAGACATATGAAAATATGCTAATGAAGATAATAATAAATTATAACTTACTGAGAAAATAATAATTTTTAGCACCAAGGGACAATAATAACTTGTAACTACTAATACCCTATTTCCAGGTGCACTCACACTCTAAGGTCTCACGCAACTGTACGTGTCGTATCAGTAATATCGGTTTTTTTTTTTTTTTGTCTGAAATATCGATCCCACAAAGAATGAGAGAATTAGACTTAGGAAAATTTCTAGTTTACTATTTTTCATTCTTAGCCTAGAATTGAAATTAAGTAAAAGCTTTACAAAATACTCCCACTGAATTGCAAACTTTTTAAAATGCTAAATCTTATAAATTTCCAACTTATCCTATTTGAATTGGTGAATATCAAGTTATAAAGTTACCCTTCCTTGTAATGAATAAAGTGGAGCATAAGAAATATAAAGTTTCAATTGTGAATGTAGCAAGCGACAAATAGGAGCAACTCTCTTCTTTACCCTCTCTCAGCTGCATAAAGAAGTTTAGATAAATTGGCTTTAAATTTTTAAATTTCAACTTGAACCCATCCAAGACTATTTCCCTAATATTTGCATCTCCCTAGAAAGTACTTCCACCATACCCTATAGTTTAATGTGACTAACCTAGTTGATTCCACCATATCTCTCCCGAGTTATTATGGATCACAATAAATTTTAACGATTCGCTTGGCCTAAATGAAAAATTAAATGAAATTCGGAAGGTTATTCATCACATTAAGAATTTAAAAATCAATTCTAGAAACATTTTGCAGTCTTACACATCCTACTCAAACTTCACAAAGAATGGTAAAGATAATTAATCAAAAAGCATGAAGAACAAACCACCAAGCTTTATTGAAATCAAGAGAATCCACTAAATATTTGCACACAAAGAAATAAAATCAATAGAAACTACATCACTTATCTTTCTCTCCTTTACAAAGAATAGAAAATGCTCCACCAAAGATCTTTGAACTACTTGCTTCTCTTCTAAACACTCTCCTCAGAATACAACTCAAGTCCTCTGTAATTCCCTCACATAAGCTCTCTTACTCAATCCTACAAGAAACCTCTAGCAAACCTCATTCTTCTCCTCCCAAAACTCCCCATTATACTTCAATACATAGCACAATATAGCACTCTTGTTATCTGAATAACTCAATAAGTCGTGTGCTTGAACTGCTCAAAACTATCTCAAGCAGTTGATGGCGCCTATGCACCAAGGGGCTGGCACCTTGGCGCCAGTCTCTACCTGCCAAGTCATGTATGGGTGCCTAAGCACCTAAGAGTTTGGTGCCTAAAAGCCAATAAAGTGGTGCCTTGGCACCCAATTACTAGTGCCTAAGTGCCCAAGGGTCTGACACCCAAGCACCAAGTCTCTTGTGAGCTCCTTTGCTCCAAGCCTTCACAACTTTACTCCATGTCCCCTCAACATTGCTCCACTTCTAATACCTGTTATACCTACAAAAAAATATAAAAAATACATTTCTTTAAAGTACAATTTTATCCATAAAAATATGCAAAAACATATTGGAATTTATGCATTCTTTTTTACATATAAAAATCCCCCAAACAAAAAGGTTACTTATCCTCAAGTAACACAAAAATTTAAATATCAAGTTATTTAATTTGAGGGAGTGGATTCATAGAAACTTTCAACAATTATGCATCAAGAAATTCATAGTGTAAAAGTAGGATAACTCTAGTAAACTAGTAGCCCTAGAGTATAAGAAACCTTGCATCCAACTAAAAAAACCAGATTTCCTATTTACTTCAAAAATAAATAAACACATGTTAACAATAGTATCTTAGATGGAAAAAAATAGAATTTAAGCACTCCTTTTAAAAAGATTTACTCATACATCCTAGATATTAGTAAGCATTGGAGTGTAGTGAAGTTTTAAATTTAAAAAGAATTCAGTGAATCCAATTTTTTATAAAGCTTCTCCTCGCTTTATATATTCACTTTAATCTCTTTACTAGCCTTGGGATGTAGATTTCAATCCGTAGCATAACTTTATGACGATTACTGACCAAAGGAAAATATGTTGAGATTTTTATACCTATTTTATATTATTTTTTATGATATTGCACTTTAAAGAAAGGTATTTTTGATGTTTTGTTGCAGGAATGATGAATTAGGGTCATTGGAGCAAAAAGAAGCAAAAAAGAGCGAATAAGAAGCGAAAAGAGCCAAAATGTGAAGAATTGAACTAGGGCGCCGACGGCGCCATCGACCCCATCGAAGGCGAGATTTCCCTGAGACTCCAGAATTAATTCATTAAGAATGTCCGCCGACGGCACCCTCGAGGCCGCTGACGGCGAGCTCGGTTGTTATGCCCAATCAGGCGCCCAATCAGGCTTAATTTTGAAGGGATGCTTAAGTAACGCTTGGGAAAGCTCATCCACAACTTTAAAAGAATGCTCACTCATCCACAACTTTAAAAGATTTGGTTGAAAATAGAGAAGAGAATAGAGTTCCTGGAGGTTAGAAAGGTTTCATTAGGGTTTTCTAGTGTGTAAAAATTGTGAGGAATTCTTCGAGAGATTCTAAGAGTGGAGGGAAAGTGAGAGATTTCTTCCTCCTTGCTGCTTCAAAGAGGAATTCTGTGTGCTGTAAAGAAAGCAAAAGATTCAGAGGAACTTCGAGGAGCATTCCTAGGGAGAAATTAAAGATAAGTTTATTTATTATTGTAGTTTGTATGGCTTTGATTTTATATATGAATTCCATGTTTTGTTGTGTTTTCCCCATAAGATCTGAGTAGTTTTCTTTGTCTTTCTCCTTATCTTGAGATTTGTGAAATGGTGATTTGAATTGGTGAAGCCATGAAAATGTTTAAGAAATTGGGATGATATTTTCACTTCGATCTTAATTTACTTTCAATCCCGTCAATTAATTTTTTAAAATATGTTTAGTTTTACAACTAAAATGAGGATTACATCCAAGATTCATGGAGGTCAAAGCCCTTGGAAGTTAGGTGCAAATAAATAAGGAAATAATATTATCGGG